TTTTTTTTTCTGACGCGAATGAATTTGTCGCCATTGTTCTCGTTAGGATCTACAGGTTTGTTAATCGGGGGGAAATATTTAAAGATAATACAAGACATAGAGAGAACGGATCTTCCACCCAATAATCCATTTTATTACTTTTGTCATCAATGAGACATATTAGCTTGCATTTACTAAAAACTGTGCTCAACAGCCAGTAGCTTAGCCTAGCCCCTAGTGCTTGAAGTTCAACTGTTTTTATTGAACGAGGATGACACCCATGGCTTTGATGAGTTTGTCGCCGTTATCTCCACCGTGCTTTGCCGCGTCGCCACACGAATTGCTGTCGTCTGGATATCCAGCGGTACCAAACCCGATTCGTGAATCGCTGGTCTTGCAATCGTTTTCATTGTTTCCCACGATACCAATTCGTGCTTTCGAACTATTTGGCAGATCACTCACGGCGTTGAAACCTTCTCTGTTGCAATTTTGCTGTAAGGAGGCTTCAGCAACGAGAGACTTCCATGCATCTCGGCCCAGTGAGGTTTTGCGATATTGGCCATCGGCAATTAGAGAATGTAAGGAGGTTGTCGCTTGGTTTAAAACGATAAACTTGCTTTCCGCACCAACCTTCATACCCAGGCAGATCTTGGTAAAGGATGTGCTCCAATATGTTGGCAGCTTAGTCTCTCCGGCGTCCAAATTTTGCCCGCTTGAAGGTTCGTACTCCTTCTTGTCGCTCCAGAAAGGTGAGTCATATTTAAATGTGGACTATAAGAGAACACAAAAGGATTCTAAGCCTTGGATCATGTTACACTCTTAAATTGCCCTCATAGTAACTAGATAATTGCAACCCCAAACAACTGTTATTTTCAAAAAACGAATCAGTTAGTTTTATACCTCAACTATCAATTCATAAAATGCGCGAGTCAAAGTCAAGAATATTGTCGATGAAGTTTTCACAAGTTCCAATCCAACTAATTAATATTATCAAACCAGAGATTCTCTTCAACAGCGAGCTACAGTGCTACTGTTTTATCCGCTTCATTGCAGATTTCCCTGCAATCTTTAAAAATGCGCGGAAATTTATTGTTATTATGAATTCATGGGTCTTGGTAATTGCTTTCACCCTGGACACTCACATCATCCTTTTGAATAAAACTTTTAGCGGAGTGTTTCTGTATTTCACTAGTGTCATATATTCATTACGATTTTTTTAATTTTTACGTATCATTGCTTTGGGTTTGAAGGTTGTAACAAAGTAATGAGGTACTTGGATGTGGTGCTAAATTACTGTATATTATATCACAAACGGACATGGAATGCAGCTTAGTCATTGTAGCTAACATTTACTAATAAAAGTTTCTCATAAAAAGTTTAAAGAACAGTTTAAAAACAGTGACAGTGTTATCATAGGATAAAATGGCTACTCTTCAACTACCTTTGTGCCGTCTATTTTCATTACCAGTGTCCATCCGCCACCTCCACAATCTCCGAGACCAGCGCCATCCATGTTACAATAAACAGGAAGTTTCGTAGATTCATCCACCTGGAGCATGTATTCCTTGTTCGCTCTTTATCCACCAAAAAAAAAAAGGAATTTTTTTAAAGTATGTCTAAGAGTGTTGTTATTTTCAGCGTTTTCCTTTTTACATATTTACACATTAAGATATCAGGACCACTTACTTTTCCCCGCGTTCAAAGGCGTTTTTGCAAGACTTGGGTGGTTCAGGAGGCGGCGGTTCTAGATAAAAAAA